AAGAAGAAATGTGATACTGTTATATTATTCAGATGTACAGTATTTTTGAAGCACAATACTTCCAAGAGACATTTCATTATTTCTGTTTCTATAGTCTCAAATCTGTAAGAGTTAACATAATCATATTTTTTAAAATTTGGAAAAAGATCTCCTAATATCCATTTATGATCATCATCTCAGAACTGGAAATACAAGTAGTATGATTACGTCATTCTACTTCTTAAGAAATTATAATGAATTTCATGTTAAAAGACTAATATCTTCTTAAAGTAACTAGAAACCCAAAACATTAAGATAATACTCTGACACATAGGGAATAGCTTAACAAAGCTTTCAGAGGTAAGCTCATGCCACAAACTCCATCACTGGTGATACTGGTACTAGTGATATTGTTGTATTCATACACATCTATGCTCAGAAACAAGTGCTCTCCACAGCAGGATTCAACTAATGTATCTGTTGAGGGCCTACAGTATAGTTTGTACTATCTGGGCACACTGAGTGTTACTAAAGTGAACCAATATTCATTCAACTCACCTCTTGTCAGGTACTGTGCTATGCACTGAGGATTCAGAGGGAATCAGAAATTGTTCTTGTCATTGCAATTTACAATTTAGTGGAAAAAAAGACTTGCAGAAAGTGGTGACATATAGAGAGCCAGGGAAATGGGAGCCAGGTAAATGGGAGGTGAATGTTAGCATTCTAGGTGGAGGCCCCAGATTGAGCAGAGGCAGTGAGATAAAAAAAAAAAAAAAAAAAAAAAAAAACAGCACGCTGTGAACAGGAACATACAAGCAGTAAGGGAAATGGCAAAAGTTTAGGCTGACAGATACACAGAGTCCATTTCTGTATGCTCTGTTATGGAGCTTAGATTCTCACATGAAGGGAAAAACCACAAGATAATCTTAAGCAGGAAAAATGGTTTGATTAGATCTGTATTTTTTGTGTCTTAATCTAGCAGCAGGCTGGAGGATGGATGTGAGGATGACAAGGTTGAAGGCAAGATGACTAGCCAGGGTAGTGAAAGGGTCCTGAATCAATAAAGTGGTGGTAGGGAGAAAAAGAAATTCTTAAGCCATGTATTGTTGATATTTGCTAATTGCTTAGCAGTGGCAAGTGTGAGTAGGGAGAACTAAGCATGCTTTAATGGGATAGGTGGAGGTACCTTCAACTGAGGTTGTGAATACAGAACTCAGAAAGCTATTTTGAGCATTTGGGGGTGGGGATATGAGGGGTGTGTTGGGAGATTTTTGTTTATGTCAAATTTAAGATAACAGTAAGCTACCAAGTGAAGAAGCCCAGATAAGAGCCCAAGCAGAGTCTGGTAAAGAAATCCCTATTTGGGAGCCATGAGATAACTGAATCTATGAGAGGTAAGATGAGACCATCTAGGGAGAGTAGGGAATAAGAAGAGTAGTGGGCTGAGAACAAAACTCCAGAGATTGCTGGTATTTAAAGGTCAAGAAGGAAGAGAAGCCCATGAATGAACAGGTAAGAAACTGCCAGAAAAGTAAAAGGAACACCAGGAGAGTGAAGTGGCCAAGGAGTTCTGTGATTTATTTTGGCTGGCAAAATGTTTTTTCTTAAATTAGAATTTGAATACCATTAGATGAGATACATAACTTTCAGTTCAACTAAAGCCCCATCTCTCCTTATGCTGCGCTATTTTCTGTGACCTGCCTTGCCTCTGAAGTCCTGTGTGTTTGTGAACCCTGGAGTAGAAGCTTCTAAAAAAGAAGAAATCATTTTAAGTATCAAATGTAGCAGAGAGAACCTGAAGGATAGGGAATGAAAGATGTCCACTAATTTAGCAACAAGAGGGTCACAGTGATGTTAATTAAGGATAGCTCCTCTGTGGTTTTGGTAGCAGAATCCAGATCAGAGAGGGGTAAAGATAAAACAGATAAGGTAAATGTAGCTACTTTTTTTAGAAATTTGAAGGATAAGAAAGAGAGATTGGATAGTAGCTAAAGGGAACACGGGCATAGGAAGGCTTTTGTCTTATTTTGTTTTTTAAAAATTAGAGACTGAATATGGTTACAGGTTGAGCCAGTAGAGAGGTAATATTGGAGAGATGGGTGGCCTGGTGGAGCAAGATCTGGGAGGAGGCAGGAAGAGAAAGGTATGGAAGGCACAAATGGACAGGTGAGCATTGGACACATGGAGGGTCTCCTTGAACTCTGAGACTGAAGGAAGATGGCACAGAAACTCAGAGCTAATTAAGATCCAATGCACGTTTTCAGCAGGAAAGTGACATGACTAAACTGTGTTTTAAGAAAATTAGTTTGGCACAAGCACACAGGATGGACTGGAGTAGGGAGAGGCAGCAGACTGTGGCAATAATTCAAGCAGGAGATGATAGCAGCCCAAACCAGAGTGGTGCCAAATAGGAATGAGAAAATGAAAAATCTAAGAGATATTTCAGAAACTATGATGACATAATCCTGGGGCAGACTGACACAGGGCAATTCAAGGAGAAGAAAGAGTCAAAATGACTCAAAGGTTTTGAATGTTACCTGGGAGATCAGAACGGTGGCATCAAGGAAAGAAATGAAACAAATGGAAAGCACGGGCAATGTGGAGAGGGATGTTGGGCTTAAAATATACTGACTTTGAGGTGATGGCTCTCAAATTTTAAACTTTGAGAAGAAACAAAATGCTCTATACAATAGAAGACTGCACAAAGAATGGAAAAAAAATCAGGGCTGGGAGATAATATTAAATATTTCATTCAGATAGGGTATATAGTTTAAGGCAACTCTAACACTCCTATGCCAGAAAAAAAATAAACAGAAGTTGATATTTTAGAAGTATCAGATAAGATTTTAGAATTCTCAGAATAAGATTACCTATTTCATAAGGATTTTACTTTACTTGATAAAAGGAAGGCTTTACCACCATACAAAGACCCATTTCTCAGATCCAGTTAAATTTTCTCCTACACATGTAATCTCTTTCAAATACCAAGACATTTAATGTCATATCTGATTTCTAGGTGTAAGAATGTATACAATAAAACTAAATAAGTTTCCAAAGTATATACATTGGTTAGTGAGTCTAGTACTGGTTTGCTGCTTTTCAGGTTTTGGTTTCAGTCAATGAATACCACCAGTACTACCCGCATGCTCCTAATTAGAAGAATAGTATACCCATCACAAGGGCCTGGGCATGGCAAGTGTCAGTGTTCTTCTAATGAAGAAAACAGGTTGGAAAGTACCTGCGCAGGGTCGAATGGAACCACAAATAAATTTCAGGTAACTTTAATTTTATTTTCTTGTTCCTTCTCCTTTGCATGAATTTTGCAGATGTGGAGGTGGAATGTTGGAGTATAAAATCATGGACTAAAGGGACATGTAACATAATCTGCATAAAAGTAACCTTTGGTACTAGCCATCATAATTAGTTCGGGTAATAAATTGTCTCCCTAGTGACAAAAGGAATGGAAGTAAAACCGTGCAATAAGCTGGCATATAAACATTGCAGGCTATCTGCAAAATTCTTGGACCAAGAAAAATTGTCTTAAAATTTCCTAATCAAAAAGTAGCTCTAAAACCTTCCCCCGACCCTTCCCCAATTTCAAAATATTTGTTAATATATTTGATGCAAAGATTACAAAAGTATATTACAATTAAAATACACAACATGTCATGCCTGTAGTCCCAGCTACTCGGGAGGCTGAGGCAGGAGAATTGCTTGAACCTGGGAAGTAGAGGCTGCAGTGAGCCAAGATCATGCCATTGCACTTCAGCCTGGGCGACAGAGCGAGACTCCATCTCAAAAAAAAACAAAAACAAAAAACAACAACTCAACATGTTAAAAATTCAAACTAATATAAGGGAGGTAGTACATACATGATTTAATATAACATGAACTCAATTGAAAGTCAAAGGGACTAGGTGAGCCATCATCAAAACCAGAGGCAGCATGACATAATAACAAAAAGGAACCTATTTTGAAAATGCAGTAAAAGATAGCATAGTTCAGAGGGTGAACATGACACAGTACTCAAACTTCCAAACAGTTACGGTCCAAGCAAATAAAAATGAGGAAGCACTCTTTAAAGCCCAGAGAATCATCAACATCTTTGCCCTGTAGCTATGTTATGAAGTCCCTCCCCATTTTATTTTCTCAAATATTCAATTTTTTCTCAAGATTTCAATTTTTAAAAAATCACCCTGGATAAATTTTAAAGAAATCATGCTCAGCTCCCAAAGTACTAATTTCCATATATATTTAATGCCTGTATATTTCATATTTGGGCATACAAAATCCCTTGGAGGTAAATTATCTCGGAACTGAAAAGCTTTGGAAACCATCTACTCCAAACCCTTCATTTTAGAGATGAAGAAATCAAGGCGCAGAAATCAGAAAAAGCAACCTGACCAAGGTCACAGGAAGCAAAACCAGGACTAGCATCTAAGAGCCCTGACTCAATCCGTTTCTCTTTCTACTTTCCATAGCTGCCTCTCAACCTGAACCTCTAATCGAGTGATATACAAGGAAGGATTAGATAGGAAGAATGGATGGATGAATATGCGGGTGAATGAACATTCTATTATTATTCACAAAATGTATCATGTTTCTGTTTTGAAGAATGCAAGCCTAGTTCTTGTCACATGTCACAGCAATTGCTGTTCCCCACAAAGTATCAATCTTGTCAGCGAAAAAACGCTCTGGTACATCCTGCAGTTTAGAGACTGTTCACTTGCCAGCATACGTACAAGAAAGGAGACTCACCCCTACTCCAATCGCTCTGGCTCCCAAACCCCTAACTTCCCTCTCCTATGCTCACTCTTTACCTGGCATTGGTGCATCATATTTACATTCACCTCACTTCCTTCACACGTATCCACCCATGGTTTCCCCATTTAGACCTGGTGCCCTTTCCTAACTGTACGCCTCAGTAAACCCTCCCCCACTCCACAGGCCCCTCGATCACTTCTCATTCCTCTGTTGCCAAATCTCAGGCTTTTCAAGTCCCAAGACCCCCTCTCGCTTACACAGTGATGTGGCCGGCACCCCGCACTAATACAGGGTCGGGAGCATATCTCCGCAGATGCTCCTCGCTCACTACCCGAGGCGGGGGCGGCGCCTCCTCCTCCTCTTCCTCCTCCTCCTCTTCTTCCTCCTCCTCCTCTTCCTCCCCCTCTTCCTCCTCATCCTCCTCGTCATCGTCGGGCCCAGATACAGACGACGACGACGACGGCGACGACGACGACGTTGCCGCTTCTTCTTCCTCCTCCTCCAGTTCAGAGATGGTGTCGAACTCCGCCATGTTGGGCAGCAGGATGCTCATCACGTGACCTCGCGATCGCCGCCACTCTCCCGGAGAGGAGTTTGAACCTGCTGAGGTGCTGCAAGAGGAGGGGGAACGAAATGAAGAGAAAGAGGAGGGGTGTAGGGACAGGATTTGAGGAGACGCGCCTGCGTGTTGGGCAGACGGGGGGGTGCGGGGGGGCGGCTGTTGGAGGCGGGGGCACTAGAGAGGAGCAAAGTCAGTGTACGCTTGCGCGGCTCCAAGGGGAGGGGGCAGCTAGAGGTGAACTCCAAGGAATCATCCAGGTCCGGTCTGCGGGTGCTCGCCTTAATACTGCTCTCTGAGCGTCAGCTACTTGTGTTCTGGGTATCTTCTGATTTGATTTCCTATTAGTTAATGCTGGGCATTATTAACCCCACTGCAGGCGGGTGAGGGAAAGCGTATTGTATAAAAGTAAGATTAGAACTTTATCCAAAATATCTCAAGGTATATACCAATCCCTTACGTTTGTTCAACATTGCAGTTTAAAAGCCATGCGTCATAACTTTGTCACAATCTTGGGAGGCAGGGTAAGCACTTTTATTAGCATTTTACTTACGAGGAAACTTTTTACTACTTCTACTATGTAATACTTAACGGAAGACTTAAGTCAGGGACTGTGTTAAGTGCTCTGTATGTATATCTCATTTAATCCTCCGCAACCCTATGGGGTATGTATCATGATGATTTTATTTTACAGATGGGAAATCTAGCTGCGGAGAAAATAAGTAATTTGTCCAGTGTCAGGGAGCTACTAATGGCAGACTTGATTTTAAATTTGGTGGTCTCTTCTGATTCCAAAAGCCCAGTACTCTTAACCAAAGGGCTGTACTGCCTGAAGTTATTTGGAAAGATTTTGTAGAGTGGTGCCTCTTGGGCTCTTCCTTAAAAGATGAATCAGAATATGCATGTTTGAATTTTGGAGTGTTTTTTGGGGGAGGGGGCAGATGGAGGGAGTGAAAGGAGCATTCTAACCTAAGGAAACCTTAATTAACATCATCCATTTTCCAGGCACTGAGCTAGACCCTCACGTACAATATTTTAGCTAACCCTTAATCCTGAGAGGTAGGTATCATTATATCTATTTTATTACATGACAAAAGTGGGTTTCGGAAGTTAAGTAATTTATTCAGGTATATGGTGACCTTTTGTCCAAAATTTTCCATTTTAAATAGTCTATCCTATCTTCTTTATACTCGCTAAAATGTTGTGGAGATCACATATTTTGCGTTTCTAAGTAGTGTGCCAAACTGTTTTATACTTGGCAGTAGCACAAAAATCCATATCATTAAGACAGTAAAGTCACACAGCTGCTAAGTAACAGAACAAACACTGTAATCCAAGCATTCTAATACCAGCTTCACTGCTCTTTCTGCTACACTACGGCTGTATCCCTATCAGATGGTGTGTCTCTGGGGAAACAGACATAGTCAAACTTTAATTTAGGATGAGCATGACATTATCAGTATAAACAAAGTATTTAATGTGTGTGAAGTAGGAAGAAATTAGTTCTGTAAGAGGAATGAATCAAACCATTATCATCAAGGAGTATGTGTTATTAAAATGAAAAGCCCATTTTTATTCAAAAGTTGGATTATTTAGGGAACTTTAAAAATAAGTCATAACACTATCAATAAGCAACAAATTACAACTTTTTGTCGTTTAGATGACTGTATCTACTAGCCAGGAATTATAGAAGATGGAACCTTAAAATATTTTGTAGTAGCCTTCTGGCAAGACATATATCATATATCTTTGCTTTTTTTGGATGTTAATAAATGTGTCAGAGTTAAGATCAAAATTAATACTCTGCAACAGTTCTTTTCTTTCAAGAAGCAAAAAAAAAAAAAAAAAAACTGTAAACGACATTTAAAATTTTTCCAAATATCTTATCCACGAAGGTCCACTAAGTCTGTGTATAGAGGGAAAAGTATTTCACCGACTACTGCTTAAATAATAGTTTCTCCTCACACTCAAGATTAGGCTAGGAAAGGCTATTTGAAGGACAGAAAGGGAAAGGAGTAGGGGGTGGACTCTGTAATAAGTGCAAGTAAGATATTGGAACTATGGTAAAAGTGGAGAAATTATGGCCATGGAGAATGAGAAGGAAGGAAAGGGATGGGGAAAATCTGTTAAAATAGAAAGAGGCCCCTCGTATTTAGTCAGATGTCAAAAGGACCAAACAGTTCAGGGAAGTGCTATACTTGGCTAAATGCACAAGGTAGTCAAATCTGTCCATCTGTTTTCTGGCTTATATATTGTGATTAAAAGTCATATGTGATACCAAAGGTTGTTTGTTTTGCTTAACTATAGGAGAATTTGGAATTAAGCAAGCTGAAGAAAAATACATTTTGTTTATCCATTGTCAGTAAACACGAGAAACACCATGGTTTCTGAATGATACCTTAGTATTAAGAATAGTAAATCGAGGAGTAGATGGAGAAGAAAGCAGGTTGTGTAACATTATGCCTAACTTGCTAAGCAGGGTATGGGGGTATTTCTCCCATATAATTAATAGGGAACTGAGGCATGAGATCATTAACCATCTAAGAGGTTTCAACCTTAACAGCTGAAAAGAATTGTAACCTTTTAAAGACAGCTTTATTTTATTTATTTATCAAAGCATTCAATTCATTAGTTTTAGTTACAGAGTTGTGCAACTGTCACTACAAACTAGTTTAAAATATTTACATCATCCCCAAAAGAAAGCTCTGTCCCATTTTTCAGCCATTCCCCATTCATCCCCAACACTTGGTAAGCATTAATCTACTTTCTTTTCTACAGATTTGTTTAATGGACATTTAAATAAATGGGATCATACACTAAGTGGTCTTTGTGTCTAGCTTCTTAGCATATGTTTTTGTGGTTCGTCAATGTTGTTTCATGTATCAGTACTTTATTCCTTTTAATTGATGAATAACATTCCATTGTTGGGGTAAATCGTATTTTGTTTATCTGCTTACCAGTTGATGACATATGGGTTGCTGCCACATTTTGGATGTTATGAAAATGCTGCTATAAACATTTGCACACATGCTTCTGTTTGAACATAGGTTTTAATTTCTCTTGTATAGATAACCTATGAGTGGAATTCCCGAGTCATATGCTAAGATGATGTTGAACTTATTAAGACACTGCCAAGCTGTTTTTCCAAAGTGACTTCATCAATTTACATTCCCACAAGCAATGCAGGAGAGCTCCACTTTTTCCACATCCTCTCCAACACTTGTTATTGTCTTTTTTTATTATAACTATTCTTATGGGTGTGCATCATGGTTTTACTTTGCATTTCCCTAATGATTAGCGATGAACATCTTTTCATGTACCTGTTTTCTGTTTGTATAGCCTCTTTGATGAAATGTCTACCCAAATCTTTAGCCCCATTTTAAAATAAAGCTCTTTTTGAGATACTTGTAGATTCATGTGTAGATGTAAAAAATAATACAGAGAGATCCTGTTTACACTTTACTTACTATCCCCCAATAGCAACATCTTGCATAACTATTGTTATGCAGATTTAACAACCACAAAATTGACATTGATACAATCCGTCTGTTTTATTCAGATTTTCCATCATAGATGTACTCATTTGTGTCTGTGTGTGTGTCCATTTAGTTCTGTGCAATTTTATCAGAGGTATAGGTTCTTATGACCATCACTACAGTCAAGATACAGAATAATTACATCACCATAAAGATCTCTCCTGTTATATTTTCATGATACTTCTTATCCTCCTGCTTACATTATGTAAACTGTGTCATACTATATGTAATTTTGGGGGCTTAGATTTTTTTCTCTCAGCATACTTATGCTGAGAATCACCCAGGTTATTGTATGTATCAGTGGTTATTTTTATTGCTGTGTAATACTCCACAGTATAGATTTACCAGTTTGTTTAGCTATTCACCCACTGAAAGGCATGTGTTGTTCTCACGTTTCAGATGTTATGAATAAACTGCTATTAAAAAAATTGTGTACAGCTTTTTTGTCCTTTAAAAAATTGGGCTATTTGTCTTATGGATTTATAAATGTTCTTTATGCATCCTAGATAGAAGTCCTTTATTACATATATAACGTACAACTATTTTGTCCCAGTCTTTGGCTTGCCTTTTCTCATGGTTAATGATATCTTTAGAATGGAAAAGTTTTAAATTTTGATCAATTCATCAATTTTTAATCACTTATGCTTCTGATGACATACCCAAGAAATTTTTGGCTAACTCATTATCAGAAATATTTGCTCTTATGTTTTCTTCTAAGAGTTTTATTGTTGTTGTTTTTTTTTTGAGCTGGAGTCTCGCTCTGTTGCCCAGGCTGGTGTGCAGTGGTGCGATCTTGGCTCACTGCAAAGCTCTGCCTCCTGGGTTCACACCGTTCTCCTGCCTCAGCCTCCCAAGTAGCAGGGACTACAGGTGCCTGCCACCACGCCTGGCTAAATTTTTTTTTTTTGTATTTTTAGTAGAGATGGGGTTTTACCGTGTTAGCCAGGATGGTCTCAATCTCCTGACCTCGTGCTGCCTGCCTCGGCCTCCCAAAGTGCTGGGATTACAGGTGTGAGCCACTCGTCCTGGCTGAGTTTTATTGTTTTAACTCTAACATTGAGGTCTGTGATTCATTCTTAATCAATTTTTTGTGTATGGTATTAAGTAAGGGTCTAAATTTATATTTTTGCTTTGTGGTTATGAAATTATTCTAGCACCATTTACTGAAGACAGTCCTGTTTTCATTGAATTGCCTTGATATTGATACAGGAGATAGAAATAAATTATTTAGGCAAATAAGGCAAAAGAGTGTCCTCAGCAGAACTTGTTTTCCAACAAAAAGCAGCCCAAGAAATCACTTCTTTTCTTTTCTTTTTTTTTTTTTTTTGAGACAGTCTCTCTCTGTCGCCCAGGCTGGAGTGCAGTGGTGCAATCTCGGCTCACTGCAACCTCTGCTGTCCCGGTTCAAGCAATTACTCTGCCTCAGCCTCCCAAGTAGCTGGGATTACAGGCACCTGCCACCATGCCTGGCTAATTTTTGTAGTTTTTTAGTAGAGACGGGGTTTCACCATCTTGGCCAGGCTGGTCTTGAACTCCTGACCTCATGATCCACCCGCCTCAGTCTCCCAAAGTGCTGGGATTACAGGTGTG